GTCCGGGCTGGGGATTCGAACCTGCCACCTTAGGTGTACGTGGCTGGCGCCTTAGCTGGTTGAGCTATAGGCGCCGAGCCCAGCTATGGACTTTTAAATATAGCTGCTGTTATTTAGTGGGATTCAGTGCAGCCCTGGAATTTACCCTTCACTGTTGATTTCAAAATCATGTATATGAGGAGTCAGATTGGTGAAGGTCATCCACGTTTTCATTCCTTTTATTGTCATAAGCCTCCCAGTTTAGATTCAACCTAATGGTTTAATAAATACAATATTGTTAAAGAAAAAGTCATAGACAATTTTGAGAGACACATTTTTTACTTGCATTTTTTTTTTTTTTTTTTGCAAGGGATTATAGTTTTCAGAAGAAAGAGCTTCCTGAATACAAAGAGAAGGTGGTATTTACAGTTCACATGACTAAAGGACACACACCGATTCTGTTGAATCACATTTGGGGCAAGTTCAATAGAAAGCTATCTTTAGGAGGAAAAACAGGCTAGGTCTGCTTTTCAAAGCTTTTAGGATCTCCCTGTAAATTGTGACCTTCAGGAATTCTTGGTGATTCGGTGGCTTATTATGGAACGCAAGGCTTTTGGAAATGGAGGGCTTTTTGTGGGCTATCTGGTGTGTTGGCAAAGCTCACGTGGTGGGGGTGCAGTATTAGTTTTGCTCTCTCAGTAATGAAGGCTTGTGGTGCGGGTTTGGCAGGAAGTAGGTAAGTGAGCAAACTACTCTGTTCTACCTTGACCTTCCCTGCTTTATTCCCCCTCTAACACTCTGTCAGATTGTCTCCCAAAAATCTAATAAATTTTTTTGTCAGCTGAGACTTCTGAATAGATTTCTCTGTCACAGTTCGATATTGTTTCATAACTCCATTGTCATTCTTCTGTAATTGCTAATATTTTTAAGCTTTATGAAATTATATAAAAATAAAACATGAAATGATTTTACTTATATTAAATTCCATTATGACCACTGTTATATGAAAATCTTTGCTCTTTTCAAATTCTAGGGGAAATTCATTCTAACATTTAGTTATGGGAATCACAATTATGGATTAAGTAGGGACACCATAGAAGGTATCGCAAGAGATGGCTTAGCCAGCTGTATTCATATGGAAATAGAAGTAAGTGTTTTTCACTCAGTCGGCTACTTGTGTATGTGAGCTTGTGTGTGTATACATGTGGTCTGACAATTAAGTTCCTGAACGTATTCTAAACAAAGTGCAATGGACCACATTGCTGAATATCACTATAGTCATCTTCAGAGTCCTCCCCTGGGGAGCTATGCACCAATGCCAGTGCTTCATTCAAAGCAATTTTGGGAACTCTTTTTCTGGAATGGCCATGGGAACCATTGTCGTATTACCCTTGGTATGCTAAATGTCACAAAATGTCTTCCTCGCAATATTTCCTTTATCTTTGGGTAAAGAAGAAAGTCCATGGGGGCAAGATCAGGGGAGTAGGGAGTAGGGAGGGTATTCCAATACAGTTATTTGTTTACAGGCTAAAAACTCCCTCACAGACAGTGCTGTGTAAGGTGGTCCATTGTCATGATGTAAGATTGGCCAAGATTTCAGTTAAGACTTTTCTCTTTCTCTATCAATGTTTAGTTGGTCTGCAGAGCTTCTCATACTCAGCCAACAATTTTGCTGCATGGTTTGGTGAATTTTTGCAATATATTTTTCAGTCCTGCTCATTACCGCCCGCCCTGACCTCTCTTCACCAGTGATGCTTTCTTTTCCTTCAGAAAGATGTTTCCTCCATTTGCACACCGCTGTTTTCCTCATGGCTTAATGTTTGACTAACATGTCTGTGATTTTTTCTTCCACTCTTGCCAAGTTTAACAAGAAATTTATGAATGTTTGTTCATTGCTCCAATTAAAGCTCTGTCACTGTTGTGACACAGCACACAAAAACACACAACAGCAATAATAACTAGACACTGATATACCAAGGTGTGAAACTTTACTCAGTTGTGTGTGCAGTGCTGCCAAGGTAAGCAGAGGGTGGCAGGTTTGCTAACCTAATTGTCAGACCTCATGTGTGTGTATGTGTGTGTGTATACAATGTACATTTAAAACGTTTGTTCATTTTGTGTTGATACATAATGTCACAGGTTATCACATGTGTGTATGATATATAAAATAATCTGTACTTGAGGCTGGGGGAGGGGCTTTGACGTGCAGGCCACATGCTGCTGGACACAAGTGAATTGGGAGGCGTTCATTCATAATTATCATGAGGCAGTGAGACACACAAAGATTTAAGTGACAGGATTTAGATTACAGTATAAGAAATTGCAGGTATACTATGAGTAAAAGGTTTATTTTCTAAGTTATTTCCTCACTACATTATACTTTTTCTTTTAGAATATGGTTTCTTTTTATATAACGTGGCGTTAGATAAAGCCTGATCCTCATGAGGTTTAGAACTGGCTCCCTGTCCTCTTAGGATGACAGCAGCCCAGTGGAGACGACCTTGTTCACTCTTTGCAGGAGATGTGTGGGCTGTGCTGTCGTCTGGCTCCATCCACTCTCTGGGTGTCGTGTTTGTTTTCAGACTCCTGGCAGTTTTTCTCTCTGCCCCAATATCCCGTAAATAGAGTATACAGAAGCTTCTCCACAATGAAGATCCAGAGTAAAACTGTGAATTTCCTACTTTCAAATATGTAGCTTTATGGAATACTTGAATTCTTCAAGGATAGTTGATTGTTTTTTCAAGTTACCTTCACTGAACAGCATAACACTTTTGCAATCAGAAAAGATTTATATAAACGATTCAATTCAACTGAACTCACAGAAAATAAAACCTAGGCAAATCGGGTATGTAGTCCTTCACTGTGGACTCTGAATCCTTTTGCTCTTTTCCTTTGTGACCTCCCAGAGCAGGGGACTGTGATGCCCCGTGGCCCCTTGTGCTGGTGTCAGTGTCCCTAGATTCAGTGGAACTGGATTCATTCCACCTGGGTTTCCAGCTCTTTAACTTTTCTGACTGTAAAATATTTCCATTCCTATCTCTCTGTAATTAATTGATTTATATCTTTAAGCTGTTTTTCTTTATTTCTGTGCTACCTAGCTTTTAAAAAAAGGCTTTTTATAAAAAAATTCTTCCTAGGACAAGGCAGAAACAAAATTGCCGTTTTGAGTGCAGAAACTCTCCATCTTTTGCGTCTACCTTTTTCCACTTCAACACTCATCTGAGTGATGGCTCCTGTTTACTTTTTTTCTCCTGAGACCTTATTCCTACTCATTTCCAGGAGGTTGAGTCTATCATCCATGCTTCATTCCCCCTATTCTCCCCAGCTGAAGTATTTTTCCAAACTGCCCTCGCAATTGACTCTTTCAGAAATTGTTTTTAGAAGAGCCTATCTTTCTTCCCACTGAATTTTTTAAAACAAGGGTTTTGAACATTGAGTTAAACCAACGATGATGGAATTGAGATAGAAGTGACTTTCAGAGTCCATTTGGAAAAATCCATTTCACCCATGAGGAAACTGATACTCAGAGAACTTGAAGGGTGTGTGGGGAGTCTACAGGCCCTGGAGAGCTGTGGTCACCACCAAGCTCTCTCCAGATTCACCGACCGGCACTTTACCCGGCTTCATGCTGTTATCTCCAGGTTGCCAGATTACCTGGAACTCGGCCTTCCCAGCCCTGGATAAAGATTATGAGATGTAGTTGGAACCAGCTCAAACCAGGTTGCTGGTTTAGGAACAGGAGCCCGAGGTAGTGACAAGGGCAAACAAAAGAACCTTCTCCCTGAGGACAATTTTATCTCCTGGTGTTCCAAAGAAGCCTTATGAAATATAGAATTGAAATTACTATTTAGTGATAAAATTGCATCACTGCTGTGATGTACCTATTTTATATCCAGCAACTTTCTTTTTCAATAGTCATATTCATTAGAATAATTAATTAGAGGAAAACCAGGTGGAATGAATTCTAATATTTCCAATGACAAATTAATATTTGATGAAGAGAGTAAAGTAAGTCAGAGATATTTATGGATAAACAGTAGCTAATATGCAGATAAGATAAATTCTTCCATATGAATGATACTAATTCTTATACCCATGTTGTCTGATAGCACCAAAATGATTTCCAAGTTATGCATCTGTTTCCAATTTATTATCTTTCTTTAAATGCATAGGGTGTAAGAAGTTTGAAATGTTCCTATTTTGAGCCTCGATATATCCTGGTGGTGCCCATAAACAAGAAAAACTATGAGGGATACTTACGGAGAAAAGGATTGTTCAGTCGTGCAGAAATCGAATTTGCTGTCTCCAGAGTGGACCTTTATGTTGACCTTAATCAGAAACTTCCAGGATATTTTGATGCAGTTATCAATGCAGGTCAGTACCTTTCAGTAAGGTTTTATTTGTTTATCTTTGGCTGGGGCTGGGTTTGAACCTGCCACCTCTGGCATATGGGGCTAGCGCCCTACCCTTTTGAGCATAGGTGCCATCTTATTTTTGAAATGTAAGGTCAATGGATTAAAAGTTTGTTTCATGGGATAAGAATTCTTGGGTAAGAGATATTGTCCATGTAAAAGTGAATCACAAAGAACTTTAAAAAGAGGTAACAATCCAAAAGGCCCATCTTTTCACTATTTTAATCAGATCATTACCTCCCTTATTTCTGAAGATATTAACTAATAAGATTTAGTATAAAGTAAGCCTGGATTAGATTCCTTTTTAGTGGACATTGTGAGAACAAAGTTAGATAATATATAATTTGAAATACATATTTAAATTTCCTGAAAGGTATATGTAACTCAGGAAATTTTGTCAGAATCTATACAGAGGTAAATACCATGTATCATAGACCTAGAAACGTCTATGTAAAACAAACATTTTCAAGAACTACCTTAGAAATGACTACTTATTTGAAGCAATAGGCAGTGAGAGAATTTATTGAAGTGTGAAAATTTCCATATATTTTAAAATTACACTCTATCATACAGCCATAAAAGGAAATTAGAAAAATACTCTATATACAGATAAGCAAATATCTTCAAGCCAGGCAGTTACTAAAAAGCGCAAGTTCACACCCATCGATATATATGATATTTTTTTGTACTACATAAATCTCTGGAAGAACCCTCAAAAAACTAATAACGTTGATTACGTGACATTAGGTTGAACCATATGAGATTGCTGAATCAACTATTTTGCCCTATGAAAACAGAAATTTAGTAGTTTTTTAAATCTCTGAAACATGATTTAATGTATTACATAGGTATATTTGTTTTCTATTCCTGCACAGAAATTATCACATTTAGCAGTTTAAAACAATATACATTTATTAGCTCATAGTTTTGTAGATTAGAAATCTGGTACAGAATAATTAGATCCTCTGCTCAGGCTATCAGGAGGCTGAAATTAAGGTGTCAGCCTGGCTGTAGTCTCATCTGAAGGCTCTGGGGAAAAATCTGCTCCAAAGTTCATTCTTTTTAGCAGAATGCAGTTTCTTGTGATTGTAGAATTGTGGGCCCAGTTTCCTTATTGAATGTCTGCCAAGGATTGTCAGTAGGGAACCTGTGGCCTTATAATGTCAAGATTATTCTTTTGTAAGCACCAAGGGAGGCAAGAAAAGCCTCATCTTTCTCTGCTAAACCCCTTTTAGTAAAAGAATTTGGTCAGAAAAATTTGGATTCATTCAAAAGGCCACACTTAAGGACCTAGAAGGCCACATTTCGCCTTCAGGCTGTAGGTTCCTCCCGCTTGTGTGGCCCCTGCCACCTTCACACCAGCAACAGGACATTGGGCCCTCCTTGTGCTTGGAGTCTTACTTCTTCCAACAGAAAGAGAAAACTCATTTTATAGGCTCACGTGATTAGGGTAGGCCTACCTGAATAATCTCCCTTTTGATTAACCCAAAGTCAACCATTAGCAACCTTAATTATATCTGCAGGAATCCCCTTTGCCATATAATGTAAATGATCACAGGAGTGATAGATACTTCATTGCTTCCACAGGTTCTGCCCGTACTCAAGGAGATCATACAAGGGATTGTCATTAGGGTCATCTTAGGATTCTGTCTACCACAATATTTATAAAGTGAAATGTAGTGACTAAACCATTACCACCGACAGTTGAAATTAACTGCATTTTGATGTGGCCCTGTGACTTTTAAAGTAACCTCTCCCATTTACTGCAGATGATATGGAAGTTGCCTACCAAAAGCTGAGTCAGCTCATTAAAGAATACCTGGGCTTGACTGAGGAGACTGCCGAGACTTTGGCTCCTGCTGCAGGTACTACTAACTATGCCCTGTATCACAGAATAGTTTTATTCATGGAAAGGAAAAATAATCTGGGTTATTATTTGTGTGCTCATTTTGTACGCTAAAGTAGGTTCTCTTTAATTCTTGTACTTCTTTGGGGGCAATTGTCTCCACAAACAAGCTGCATGAGTCAGCCTTCTGGCCTATGAATCAGCTCGTGTCTGTGACCATAATGGAACTCAGGGGACTGCCCTTCAGGGACATGCTGGGCAGTGCCTTGGGGGAAGGTAATAGATGAGGGTTAGCCTCATGCTTCAGAACTCAGCCTTCCCGAAGGTTACCTCCCTTAGGGGCCTGAGGTGTTTTTCTACTTGTCAGATTTGTACTAAGTTCAAGAGTTTCAATGCAAGAGTTTTCCTTTCCCTTTTCTGTGCATCACCCTTGTCCTCAAAATGTTATGCTGGGGAATATAGTGGAAGGAGCCCTGGTCAGAGAGTATGATCCCAGTCCCGGCTCTGCTGCTCTCTTGGACAAGCACCCTAGCTGTTCTCAGCTTCAGTTCACTTTCCTGCTAAACAGACCTAGTGCTCTCTGTGTGCCTTGGGGGTTATGAGCAGCAGATGATATAGGATATATGAGTGTATCCTCTTAGAATTTAGGAATTCTAAAGCCCTAACTTAAAATTTTGGGATGAGTATTTCGAGATGTATTTAAATGGTTCTTCCAAATCCACCTCACAGGAATTAAGATGGTTATTATAAAAACAAAATGAAACAGAAAATAAAAACTGTTTGGCAAGGATGTGGAGAAATTGGAACCCTTGTATGCCATTGGTGGGTCTGTAAACTGGTCCCATACTATATGGGAAACAGTATGGTGGTTCCTCAAAAAATTAAAAACAGAGTTTCTATATGGTTCCGCAATTATGCTTATGAGTATATGCTGAGAAGAATTGAAAGCAGCATCCGTAAGACAGTTGCACATCCTTCATAGCAACATTATTCACAATAGCCAGAAGGCAGAAGAACCCAGATGCTTACTAGTGGATGAATGGATAAACAAAAAGTGTATATACAAAAAATAGAATATTATTCAACCTTAAAAAAGGAAAGGAGTTCTGGCACATGCTGTAACATGAATGAACCTTGAAGATATTAGTGCACGAAATGAGCCAGTCACAGTGTATACTTAGATGAGGGACGGAGAGTAGCCAGGTTCATACGACAGGCAGCAGAATGGCAGCTGCCAGGCTGGAAGATAGAAGTTGTTTAGTGAGTGCAGAGCTTCAGTTTTAGAGGATGAAAAGCGTTCTGGAGATGGATGGATGGTGGTGATGGTAGTATAACAATGTGAACATACTTAATGCCACTATACATACACTTAAAATACTATACACTTAAAAATGGTCGCAATAGTATATTTTATGTTACATGTATTTTTACCACAATAGTAATTTTTTTTTTTTTTGGTAGAGACAGAGTCTCACTTTATGGCCCTTGGTAGAGTGCCGTGGCATCATACAGCTCACAGCAACCTCCAACTCCTGGGCTTAAGCGATTCTCTTGCCTCAGCCTCCCCAGTAGCTGGGACTGCAGGCGCCCGCCACAACTTCCAGCTATTTTTGATTGCAGTTCAGCTGGGTGCCAGGTTTGAATCCACCACTCTCTGTATATGGGGCCAGCGCCCTACTCACTGAGCCACAGGCACTGCCCCCACAATAGTAATTTTTAAAGGTTCCCTCAGTTGACTGAACTGCATTCACATATCACATGTTAACCCAGACTCCCACAGCTTCGCAGATGCTATGCAGCTTGCATTTTGGTCTTTGTGAATCTTTGCCCAGTGTGGTTGTAGTTTGCCTGGTTGCACCCTGACAGAGACAGGCCAGGTTATGATTTAGCCAGAGTTCAAGCCGATTGTGCTGTTTTGCAATTTTTCACATTTCCCAGGTCAAGTGCCCCTGGAATTTTTGAATGAGGTGAATGTGAAACTGGTGGTGGCTGAGAATCTCTTTCTATTCCATCCTGCAGGAGAAGAAATGGCCAGGGTCTGACCTGCTATCTGGTGTGAAGATAGGCATTAATGTGGGACTGGAGGATTGCGCTCAGTCTGTAAAGCGGGGAGGAGGGTACATTGACTAAGGAGCGCGTCAGTGTGTTCAGCCAGCCCTTTGTGGCCTGGGCCTTCCAGAGAGCCCTGACTTTAGAGTAGAGGAGTGCCGTGAATCCAACAAGGCTCTCACAACTTAACAGAGGGTTCTCTGGAGGGAATCCTGCTCCCTTTGCTTTATTTTTTTGCTAACCACGCAAGCTTCTGATCTTTAATTTGGTCTCCCTGGGCAGATCTGCCCCTGTGGGGCTGTACCCTATGTCAAAACACCCTGCCCTGATCCTTGAACCAGGCCCATCTCCCCTTGTAAATTAATTAATTGGTATCCTGGTTTTTAAATCAGCCTCTTGTGGGTTTGGACAAACATGAGTCAGTCTCCTGGGCCTGATCAGTTCTGAATAACTGAGAAAAGCCCATTTCTGAATCTGCCGATGCCTCTGAATGGAGGCCGTTGAACAGGACTTTGCTTTGGCAGCCAGGGGGCGCCGTTTCTGCATCTTAATCTATTAGCCCTCTGGAATGCTGATTACTGGGTGCAGTTGACGTTTGGCAGATTAATAGACCAGATAATGTGTGGGTAGGCGAATTGACCCAGATTTTAAAAAGTATAAGAAAGCTTTATTTATTTGGACTAATTGAGTTAGGCCTCTCTGATTTAATGGAAAGGGTGAATTATAGAATTTGTGAAAGTGTTACCAGTCTCAGATACATTTCATAATTGAAACTGAGCCATCTAGTTATTGACTAATAGAATTCCAGCTTTAAGAAGTGGACAGGAGAATTTGTTATCACTAGTCTCAGCAGACCTTCATTTTTCTGGCAGGTTTAGTGTTGGGGGAAACAGTGTGCTTTCTCAAGCCAACCACTTTGTCTTATTTATACAATTAATTTGTGGAGGAAGTTACTTTTTCTCTTGATGGTTTAAGAACTGACTGCACATAAAGTGGCATTGTGGAAGCTAGACATTACTCAAGTGAGTATCTAGAAAATTCTAATGACTGTGGTCCTTATTATAAGCTTTTATGGTCTCTCTAGTGACCCAAGAAGCAGAGCCAGTGATCACTGTGAGTTTCAGGGCTATGAAGAATGGGACAAAGAGCACTGGCCAGAGGTTTACAGGTATAACGCAGAAGAAGAGGGACCAACCATAAATACCTTGAGAAAAATATCAAGACTCCCCGATAAGAGGCCTAGAGCCCCAGCAAAGTCTCAGGGCGCTTGCTGATGCAGCCCGCTGTGAGCTGGATCCCACTGACCTTATGTTTCTATAGTTTAGATAAATTTACATAAATTCTTATACTATTTACATAAACAGGACCCAAGAAAAATTTTAAAACCCAACAATTTCAGTATAGTAGAATTTTAAAAAATAATTAACCTGTCTGAAGAAATTGAAGTAAAAATAATTTCTGATTCTGGGAAAGATAGCTTTGTCTGAGCAGTTAGAAATGTGGGCTGGAAATTGGAAGCCTTAGCTCCCTATTCTACATCTAACCAATAATCATTAGTTTGATTAAAGACATGATTTTGAACTCATATTTCTTACAATAAGACCTACATATAACATGGGGCATTATTAGATTCTGGCCTTCCAGAGCTAAGGGTTTTCCCAATGAGATTAGACTCTGTGTTAGGTGTCAGAACAAGCAAATCTTCTGACCAACAGCATTGTTTTTCTTAAAATGATAGTCTAAGCAAACTGAACATTATTCCCAAATATTTGAAGTAATAATAGATGGCCTTATCTCTTATAATTTTACATTGCTAATTTGTGACTAAAGTACAACATTAATTCCTACTCTTAACAATGCGAGTGGAACAAAGCCATAAAAGAAAGCCCAAGGCCTGTCAGTTCAGACTTGACCCTGAAATAGAAACCTTCACCAGTGGATGGACTAACTGAGTTTTCATTTGCCGCATGTATAAAATAGTACTTTTCAGTCCAGAGTGATTATAAACCCTTGAAAACTCTTGATGTACCATTAATATAAAAATGTATATCTGTTATATAATTATCTTATTTTTTCCTATAGTAATATAGGTAATATTTGTTTCTAAAGTATGAAGACAAAATAAAATATCTGAGTAAACAATATGTTTCTGTAAAATATGGAAAAACTCCCTCTATTTGCAACTCAGTGTATGGGATGTCTTTCCCTTCAGAGAGCCTATTTCTGGGATAGTCAGTGCTTACAATAAAGCTTTTAGAAAGTTGAACCCTGAATTTTTGCTGTAAAGATTATAAAATAAAATACTATTTTCAAATAATTATTCAGAATTCTAAGTATAGAAATGATGATCATTACAATGAGCCAAACAGGGGAAAACCGAGCAGTTTGGTAGCCTATAAAGTGGTGACTTTATCTTTTGTAAAGGGCCTGGTATCACTTGCCAAATTACATGAATTGTTAAATTGTGACAGTGGGGAGAAAAATCCTTATATGTCTGATTATAGGAAACCAGGAGGGATTAAAGAGGGAAAGAACCTTCATTATTGGGTTGTATTGTTCTTGTATTTTTTTATCTTTTGAAATTTCTTTTTATTGTAGTAAAACACACACATATATATGTATACATACACACATAAACATAACGTTTGCCATTTTAATCATTTTAAGTGTAGAATTCAGTGGCATTAATTATTTTTGCAATGTTGTATAACCACCACCACTACCTATTTCTAAGATTTTTCATTAAGCCCAAATAGAAACTCTACAGCCTTTAAATAATAACTCCTCTCAATCGCTGGTAATGTCTACTCTACTTTCTGCTCTCTATAAATTTGCCTCTGCTAGATAGTTTCCCTGTTTTATGTTTTAATGTAACCTTGTTTCTGGCCTAGAGTTTTGGTTTATAGCTCTTATACACTAGGGAGATAAGCATGATGAGCAGGCCCTGCCCTGAGAAACCCCACTGAGAGG